TAACAGTCACCGTTATAAAGGCTAACGTGGATAATCCCAGCTCTGGTCGTGGTTCACCTGGGGATGTGGCCTCAGAGGATCTGTGCCCAGGAGCAAGCCTCTGCCTGGTGAAGTGGCATTTATAGGGTCTCTGTGCTGCCGTTGGCCATCGCTTTTAGTTAAATTAATTAGAAATCCGTTAGCTCAAATTACAGCATGGCTAAAACCTAATGCAAATGTTTGCTTCACCTGTTTATTGAGCACTGCTTTATTACAGCCCTGGGCAGAGATGAGCCAGGAGGGGTTTGTGTGCTGAGCTGCGGAGGTCCGAGGCTTGGTCCTTGCTGGTGGCATCTCCTCCTTTGGTCTGCATTAGGTGGACGTGCGTTACCTGCTAGCTTGTGTCTGGTGGTGCTTTCTGTGTCTGGGTTGACCTGGGAGGGAATGAAGTGTTTAAAAGAGAGAGAAGATGCTGTAGAGCTGAATGCTGGGACTCGTTAAGAAACGTGGGGAGGACAAAGTTGGGTGAGTGGAAGATGAAGAGGGACTGTGGGATCATCTGCTCTGTGCTCCAGTGTTGCACAGGGTGCAGGAACTTCCTGGAGCCTTTATTTCTCATTTGAAATAAAGCATAACTTTTCTAAAAGCACCCAGGCTTGATTTTAAAGAAATAAATAAAAAAATTGACAGTGATGGATAATCCACTACAACCCTTGGTAAATTGTTCTAGTGTTTAATTACCTTCACGGCCAAAAAAGGGAAGAAAGGAAAAAGTGCCCAGTGCGAAGAGCTCTGAGGATTGTGTGATTATTGCCGGTACCCACTTGCTTATCGTGGTTCTCCTGCTGGGATGGCACAGGGTGATGTCATGCTCTGGCATTGGGGTCCCACTCACTCCAGCTCTCTGAAGCTGCAGGGTGCTATGGGGGGGGTCTTTGTGCAGGGTTTGTACTAGGCAGAGCCCGGCTGTCCTCGAGGACTGTCCTTGGAGCGACGGCCCCGGGCTGCCAGAGTCCTGCTTCACCCAGCAGCGGGGAACAATAACTGGTTTTGGATGTCGTGTGGGAGCAATAGTGGCTTCAAAGTTAGGAAAGAAATAAGGATATTTTCTCCCAGGGCAAAACTTTGTCTCGGTGTTCTGAGGAAGCAGCAGAAGGGGTTCCGGTCAGCGCTGGGCTGAACGCTGCACTGATTTGCACTGATTTTGCTTTGACCCATGGAACGGATGCTTTGGTGTAACAGGTCTACGCAGCCCAAATGATGATGCTCCTCCAGCCTAGGCCCTTCTGCTGTGACTTCAGCCCTTTTTGGTGTGGTGGCTGGCAGAGGGTTAGGGCTTTGCTTTTGTAACGGCCGGGCTGCGTCGCTGTGGCTGCGCTGGGTTTGACTGCAAAGCTGGAGGGTTTCTGCGGGGAACCACCCCATGTCCACCCCACGTTGGGGAGCAGAGCTAACCAGGCAGAGTCGGGAGAGGCCGGAGACTGTTGTGAGGAGGTTTGTCCAGACCCCAGAGGAGCAGCCGGACTCTTCCTCACCTTTCACCGCTTCAGTAGGGCAGAGTGGTGGCTCGTGTTCAAAGCAGCGCATCCATCTTCTTGCTGCTCAGAAATGGTTCAGCATCTCGGATGGATGCCCAAAGAGTGATTGCTCTGCGGGTTGGCAGCTTGGCATAATTTATATAATTTATATGAGCACCCAGTCTCTTGGGCTTCGAGGTGGCTTCTTCCATCGATTTCTTTCCTTTGGTGCTTCCAGTAAGTCCCACTCTTGCTGCTTTCCAGCTTCAGCAGAGGTTTGCTCCAGTGCCACATGCCCTGCAGTTCTGCACACGCATGGGTTGTCCCCACCAGCCCTCTTCTCTCCCATCCTTTTCCTGTCCCTCTTCCTCTCCTGTGGGTCTCAGCAATCCGCCAGTGCCCCCCAGCTCCCGCTCGGCCGGCGTGGGGCATGCGAGAGCGTGGCGGGAAGGACATTATGTGGGAGAATACGCATGTTCACAGCTCAGAGGATTAAAGGCCCGTGTTCTTATCACTGCAGAACAGAGTATTATAAATCCAGCCTTAGAATACCAAATCCCCACGCGGCTTGGCCATTGTTTGGGAATATTAAAAAGCTCGGAGACAGAAATAATCAGTTTCCGAATGACACGTTGTCAAATAAAACATTTCTCACATTATCCCTTCCTTCCCCTTTCTCTCTCCCGCTCCCTCAGTTGGATAATTTAACATGAAAAATAGATTAAAATGAGGCTGGCTTGAATGCCTCCAAAGTTTGACTCTTTTTTTCTTTTTCCCTTTTCCCTGGGAAGCTCTCCCAGCGTGCATGGTGCGGTTAAACAAGCAGCTGCCGGCGCGGGGTCAGGGACTGAAGGAGCGTGTTGAAGCCAAGCTGCCCGCGGTGAGCCCAGGAGTGCTCATCCGGGGGGCTGGCACGGGCGCCCCTGGCCTTTCCCGAGCAGAGAGGGGCCCTTGTCTCAGAGGCTGGTGGAGCAGAGACCTCCAGCTTGTCCCCAAAGGATGGGGGACCTGCAGATGGGCTGGGCTGGGAGCCCTTGGAAGTCATTCCCGAAGCGGGGGCAGAACGGCACGCTGGTGCCCTCTGTGCCTTTATGCCTTTTTTTAATTTCTCCCGAGCAGAGAGATCTTTAATTTAATAAGTTGACAGGTTTATCAGCTTCAAGCCATTCCCTGGGGGCAGTTGCGAGGTGATCCCAGCCAGGCTGGTACACGGCCCTGGCAGATACCCATACCCCTTCCTGGGGTCCAGCCAGCAAACCTGCTCCTCGTGCAGGGCTTTCCTGGTCACCCTGGAGTTTTCCAAGGCTCTGGGTTGTCTCCAGTTTTGCTTTACCAGGGTGGGCAGGTGCCCCTGTGCCTGTGGGTACAGTTTGCAGAGAGCACCCAGGCATGAGCGACATCCAGCCGGGCAACTCGAGGATTTGGTTGGTGAGGCCATGGAGAAGGTTTTTCCCAGTAGTCATGTCCACGTTGTTCTGAAACCCTTCTGTAAGGCGAGAGCCCTCCCTTTGCCAGAAGGACACCAGCATACAAACCAGATGATTTTGCGGTATGGTTTGTTGTGTTGAAGTTCATGGCCCTGCAGTGTCCTTGTCACTGGGCCTCCCTTTTGGAAGGTCTGATGTGCTGTGGTTTCTCTCCAGCAAACCAGACTTCCAAGAGAATGGCCCCAGTGTGGTGCCAGGGCATGCAGGTGGCTCACACTGGGAGCTCCTGTGATGCTCCGAGGTCTCTGTGCATCAGGTGCTGCACAAACTTGAGGAAACACATTTCTGCTCTTCCAGGTTGAGGTGTCCATGCTGATTCTTTCTTCTGAATGAGGAAGGCCAGGTAGGATCCTCATCCCACTGGTCCTTCAGGTCCTCCAGTGCTGTGGGGCATGAACCCAGTCAGCTCAGCGAGCCCTGCCCTTCTCTCACATGGAGATCCCAAGCATCTCCTGGACCCTAAACCGCCTTTCCTGATGGCACTAGTCACCTAAATTAGGGAAGTCAAGCTGAGCAGTGTCCTCCAGAATCGCTGAGCCCTTCTCCCATTGCTGCCAGTTTGGGGGGAGAGGTGGGGGTACCTGATGGGAGATGCCAGGCTCCTCTCTGCAGCAGGTCATGGTGCTGGGGTGCACCAGGGAAGCGTCTCCCCTCTGTTCTTGCTCCCGAGGCCTCTCGCCCAGCTAACACATCCCATGAGCTGCGATTTTCCCTGCCACCTTTTTACAGCCGATCCTGTTTACGAGTTGGAGCCGTGCTCTGGGCACGGCGCGGTGCGTTGTGTCGAATGTGGATGAAACATTCGCGTGTGTTCATGTTGTTTTTGCACGTTCTGTGGAGCTCAGGGCTGTGGCATCCGCTGTCCCAAAGCAACGCCTGCCCTCCCCCGCCTGCTCCACGTCGTGCTGCTAAGCCCCAGTTGCTCTCACCACTCCTGATTTCCGTGCCCTGCTTTACTTGGCTGCCATGGGATGAAATTGCTCCGGTGCTGTGGAGATGAAGAGGCTGGAAGTTGGTACCTGCAGAGCTCTCGCCTGCATGGGGCTGAGCAACTGGGGTGGAATTAAGCTCCAGAGCAGCCAGTGGTAGGGCTGGCTCCCTCGGGAAGAGAGGCCACTTCCCTGGACCTATAGATATTTAGGAAGCTTATTTTCTTTTCAGTAAAGATTTTTTTTTTAATTATTTTGGGTGGTAACATAGTTGGGAGCTGCACTGAAGAAAGTTTGGAGGTGAGGGAAAAGAGGAGGTCTCGATCTGGAATATGATGTGTGGTGCCCCCAGGTCTGCAGCTGAAGTCTAGTTGGAGCCATAAGCAAATGACAACCAGCAATGACGGAGCCGGAGTGGCTGTGCCTCAGGAGCAGTGGTTGCACGGTGTCGTTTGCCGCACTGTTGTTTGTGTGAAATGTCCTCTGTCTCTGCTGGGGCTTTCCTGCTCCCGTGTCAGTGGCTGCATTGTTTTAATGATTTTTTTTTTTCTCCTAAGTGGTGGGACGTGGTCCCTCCTTTCCCATCTCCCTGTGCAGGGCAGGAAGGGGAGAGAGACTTGCCCAGCTCAGCCCCCATGCGCCTGGTGGGGCTGGGGGACCCACGGGGTCTGTGGTAAGAACAAAGTCCTTGGGAGAGTGGGCAAAATAACACGGGCAGAGCTGAGCTGGGGGTGTCACTGTGCTGTCTCCAGCCAAAAGCCACCTCCAGTGCCCTGCTGCTCTTGCCCGGGACATCCCGCCCCAGGGATGGCTGCTCTGTGCACCCACCGTGTGCAGTGCATGGAGCATTGATGTCAGGGTGCTCTGGGGGTGGAAGAGGGAGAGGGTCCATGGGTGCTGGCCACAGCATCCCCTGAACCATCCCTGCGCCTCCTTCATCCCTGGAGCCATCTGTGTGCCCCGTGCAACCCCGGAGCTTTCCGTGTGTCCCATGCATCCCCTGACCCATCCCTGTGCCTTGTGCATCTCCTGACCCATCCGCATGCCCCATGCATCTCCTGACACGTGCCCTTTGCTCTTCTCCGCAGGGTGGGCTGATCGCGCTGCTCCTGCTTCTCTTGGTCTTCACGGTGGCTCTGTACGCGCAGCGCCGCTGGCACAAGCGTCGCCGCATCCCGCAGAAGAGTGCCAGCACAGAGGCCACCCACGAGATCCACTACATCCCCTCGGTGCTGCTGGGCCCCCAGGCCCGCGAGAGCTTCCGCAACTCCCGCCTCCAGGCCCACAACTCGGTCATCGGGGTGCCCATCCGTGAGACACCCATCCTGGACGACTATGAGGATGATGAGGAGGAGGAGACGCCGCGGCGGGCAGAGCCCAGCACCAGGGAGGATGAGTTTGGCAGCCAGGTGACACGGACGCTGGAGAGCCTGGGTCGGGGCGGGGAGGAGAAGCCTGACTACGAGAAGAAAGGTTCGTGGCTTTTCTCTCTCCTCTTTCCCCCTCTCTGTGCTTCACTGAGGTGTCTGTCTTGGACAGAGCCACCCAGGGAGGATGGCTCATCCTTACATAGACCCTGTGCCTAGTGCTTGACTCTCTAGGCTTTGGCCCTCAGGGGTCATCTACAAGGTGGGTTGCAGACCTTGTCCTGGAGCTGCTCTTCTTGAGAGAGGAATCACCTTTAGATGGTATTGGGGAAACTGAGGCACAGTAGCTGTGAGTGCTCAACTGTCATTGCCAGCCTCGAGGACCAGCTCTCCTGGTCTTGCAGCACTCCCTGACTGTGCTTTGCTGGTGGTTTAGGTGCTGTAGGAGAGTGTGAACTGAGTGTTGGGAGCTCCCGTGAATGTGGATTCATAGGATTTGACCCGTCTCCTTTGCCAACATTCTCTTACAAAACCAGTCTCCTGTTTCAGTGCGAGCGTGCCTAGTGTGATGAGGTGGGAGGCTGACGGCCGTGCTTTCAGGCTCGGTGGTGTATCTGGTCCTAGCAAGGACAGAGACTGCAGTGGAACCCCTGGCAGGTTAGGGGCTGCCAGGCTGGTGGAGCAGAGCTGGCTTTGTCCCAGGGCAGGGGGTCGCTTTTTTTCCATGGCTTTGTGCAGCGCCTTGCATGGGACAGAGCAGAGGAGTCGTTTCTGCTGGAACTCGTCTCGTCAACAGGATGGGGGTGCTGGGATTTATCCTGACTTCTTGCTGTGAGTGAGTGCTAGCACTGGGCATCAGTCAGGCTGGTCCTTACTCTCCAGGTGGCAGAAATGTTCACTGCCTGCCTGTCGAGTAGGGCATCAGCTGTAGTGAGTGCCTGTGTCGGCGTGCTGAGCCCTCGTGCTCCTCGGAGAGCTGCTCCATAAAGCTGTATTTTCCACTAGTGGCAAAACATCCCCTGTGCTTTATTCTCTGAGCAATCAGACAAATGATCCTGCAGTCACCCGCCAGCAAAATCATCAGGGCTGTGGATTTAGGGCCAGCGCGTGGGAGCCCTGCACGGAGTCGGAAGCCACAGATGAGAAGATTGTCTTTGCGGGAAGAGGCTCAGAGCTGAATCCGTGTGGGTCCGATGGAGAGATGCAGACCTTGAATGTGAACTGTTACCTGCCCAGGGTGTTTGGCATGGCGGGGGGGGGGCGTGTAGGTCAGATCAGAAAGAAGCCTATGCAATTCTGTAAGTGTGGGTTCTGGCTGCTGCCTGTCCCTGTGGTGCTGCCTGCTTGTAAGGTATAATATCAGATGACAGTGCTGTTATGAGGTGTAAATCCCCCGTGAGTAGCCCTGGGGAGCTGAGCAGCCAGTGCTGGGCTGGGATGCCCATTCCTGAGCAGACAAGGTGCTGCGGGTGCTTTGTGCCTTCCCCAAAGGTGGTGGGCTGGGATTTGGAGGAGCTCTGGTCCCTTTGGAGTTTGCTCTGCCCAGCTCAGAAAGAAAGTAGTGATGGGGTCCCTCTGCGTAAAGCACTCCGGCATTGGCACAGTGAGTAGCCAAAGGCTGGATGCAATAGGACAAGCAGGCAGGTCCTCTGCGTTCACGGTGTACATGATGGTACCTGTTGGTGTCTCTACCAGGTACGAGGGAGCAGAGGGGAGCCCATATGGAAAGGGCTTGGCAGCACTTCTGCAGGCTGAGCAGCTGGGGAGGCAGCTTACCTGCTATCAGCCTGTATGGCTTCCTCTGGGAGAGGAGGAGAGACCAAGCCATGGGTGACAGACGCTGGTTGTGTCTCTGCCCTACTGGAAGGCACTCAGGAGCTCTAGGCGGAGGCCAGTGGGAGAGCCTATATAAAGCAGTCTAGACTGACTGCCCTTTGTTTAGTTGTTCTCTTAACTGCAAATAGAACTTGTGGT